TGTATGTATGTATGTGTGTGTGCGTGTGCGTGTGCGTGTGCGTGTGCGTGTGAGAAAGAGAGCAGGGAGCAAAAAGTGCGCGCCAGGGCTCGGCGAGGTCGCGAGTGGGGCCCCCGGCTAGAGAGGGAGCGCACCTCCACATCGGCCATGCTCTCCTCGTCGGACGCGGCGAGATCGCCACGGAAAAGCATGCCCATCACGGCATTAGCCTGCTCGACGAGGCGCTGGAGGTGGTAGTGCGCCTCATCGGGGGTCATCTGGAGCTCGAGGATCAGCCGATCGATCTTGTTGAGAACCAAGATCGGCTTGACCTGCTCGACCCAAGCCTGTCGGAGGACGGTGAAAGTCTGTCCAAAGAAGAAGGGGGCGAGAGGGGGGCGGGGGGGGGGGGAAGCAGAGCCGAAGGGCGTAAGCCACACTGAGAGAGAGAAAGAGAGGGGGCCTGCCGCGCGAGATTGCGACGGGGAGGGGCGGACAAAAGCAAGGAAGGGCGGAGCGAGGGGAGGCGAGGCGAGGCGACTGAGGGGAAGACGGATGTGCGTGCAAGGGCGCACCTGCGTGGAGACCCCCTCCACGGCGTCGATCAGCACCAGACCGCCGTCGCACAGGCGCACGGCGGTCGACACCTCGCTGTTGAAGTCCACGTGCCCCGGCGAATCGACCAGATTGATCAGGTACTCGTCCTCCGGAGCCCGGCGGAAGAGCAGCGAAATGGCCGACGACATCATGGTAATGCCGCGCTGCTGTTCGTCCGGGCGGTCGTCCAGGAAGCGCAGCTTGCCGGCCATGCGGGCCGAGATGATGCCATTCGAGGCCAGCAGGGAGTCTGAGAGGGTGGTCTTGCCGTGATCGATGTGGGCCAGGATGCAGATGTTTCGGATGCGGTCCGGCTGCGCCTGCAGGCCGGCCAGCTGATCCTTGGTAACCATGGACATGTTGGCACGCGTGCAACGGAGGAAGAGGGGGGGGGGGGCGAGATGGAGGGAAAGCGGAGAGGGAGCAGGAGGGGGAAGGGCAGAGAACAAGAGAGAGAGGGAGAGGGATAGGTTGGGTAGGGGGGCCCAGAGAGCTGATCAGAGGGGGAGAGAAGAGGGCTGGCCAGGGCCAGACGGACTCGCCTGCGAAAATGCCGCTCAAATAGCCCTCCTCCAGCCGAGCGATCTGGGTCTGGCTGGCGGCCGGCATCGCCAGTGTGCCCCGCGACCTGGAGGGGGGGGGGGGGGGAGGCCAGGCTCGACTGGCCGCCTGCCCTCGCCCCCGGTCCCCCCTCCGCCCTCCTGGTGTTGGTATTTTGGCCACCGCCTCGGCCGGTCCCCTGTCTGGGGGGAAGGAAGATCGACGCGGAGCCCTGGATGGCGTCTGGGCATCTCGCCAGCCCTTGGGTGTTTCCCACTGGCCGACCATGCAGGCTGTGGTGGCGGTGGCCAATCTAGGGGTCGGGCGGCCCTTGCGCTGGCGGCTGCGGGTCATGCGGTGATGCAATCGGCGGGGAGATGTAGCGTGATCCCGGGCGCATGTGATTGCATAAGGGTATTCCACGCAGCATTCAGGCACGCAGGCTTCGCGAGCTGACAACCTACCTCGGGGCATTCCCGCGTTCCGGGGTGCGGTGGTGGTCGTCTGTCAGTCCAGGCCACGCCGGGGGGGGGGGGGGGGGCAGGCGCGGGCAGAAAAACAAGGCCCATCAACCAGGGCGCGGGGCTCTGGCCTGCGCCGGGCCAGGACCCGTTTCTTGTGCCTGGAAAAAAATGTGAGACAACGGCACGGCCGGCGGGGCGGGGGTGCCCCGCCGCGAGGCCCTGTGAAAAAGGGTCGTTTAGGGCGCCCCAGCGTCCGGGGATTGGGATAGGCCAATCTTCCCATGGAGCCGGCCGGCGCGTGGGGCCTGCCCTTCCTAAACTCTCGTGCTACTTTTCGTGGCGGTTCTGAGCAGATATGCCGGCCACCGGGCTATTTCGGCGTGTGAACAGTTGTTGCACTAGATCCCCGATGCCCTGGCCCCCGCGCCGCCCGCTGGTCCGGGGAAATTCACCAAGCGACGGCCGGTTCACCGGTAGCCCGGGCCGGTGCCGCGGCCTGGGGGGCATTTTTTTCCTCCGGCGCCCACACTACGCTGGCCCGCAGGGGCCGGGTGGGGTGAGGAGGATCTAGCACCCGGGTCCCTTAGGTCTCCGGTCCCGGGTCGCCACTTCCTCCGGCCGGAGGCCTCCGGGGGAAGGGGGGGAGTATGCGGGCTGAAAGAGCCATGGTTGCCGAGGATGGGGCCGTGTCCCGAGCGGCATGCGCAAGTCCGACTGCCCATGCGCCTGCCCTTGTTCGTGGTTGTGCCAGGGCCGGGCACAATCTCATTCCATTGGCGGGCGAGTTTTTTCCCGTGAGTTTGTGTGCTGCTGCTACACGGCAACGTTCCTGCCTCTAGCGCGAGAGTCCCGCCACACCGAAGCGAGGCCAGCCAGCCAGGGGGCCCATGTTGCTTGGGGGCCACTGCTCCCTGCCGAGCACAGGGTCCCTGGCTGAGAAGAAGATCTCTCATTTTCAGGCGTCTCTCGGCTCCTCACCTTGTGTGTGTGTGTGTGTGTGTGTGTGTGTGTGTGTGCGCGCGCATGTGTGTATGCGTGTGTGCGTGTGTGTGGGCACGTACAGAACACCGGGATAGCCTGGCTGTGAGCCGGCAGCCTCGCAGCACATGTTTGCCTGTCGTTCGAAGAGATATGGGTCCCAGCTTCTAGCTGGTAGAGATTCTTACCACTGGAAGGGAGCGGGGGGG